GGAATGGCAAGGAGGAGACAGTTGACATTGTTTGAATCCTTCTAGAAAAGAAAACCAAGTGGTTTATAGGTTGTGCTTAGAGAATGACAGAAGACTGGAGTGAAATGCAGTCTTGAAAAAAAAACAAAGTGTGAAACTTGAGATATACTGTGCAGAAAATGGGATTCAGATTCCTAGAAATGACACTATATGTAATGAGGAAGTGGGGAGAATGACGTAGATAAAGATCACCACAAATGACAAATTCTACCTGAGCCCCTTTTCCATGCCTGACTCAGGATCATGGGTAGGGAGGAAGTAAAAGGATGTTGGGTAAGAGCAGGTTAGAACAATGGAGTTCAAGACTCTCAGGTAGAGGAAAAGTAGATATACCCACTGGAAACTAAAGAACAGGGGAGGAAAAGATAATAGCATGCAGTCAAAGAAGTACCTTCAGGTACACAGGTCAGTATTTAGATTCATGTTTTCACTTCAGTCTGTTTTTACATTAAGTTTAAAATCTTTAAAAGATAGACAAAGACCTTGAGCCAATTTCCAAGACATTCCACAGCTCTGGCTAACTGATGTCTCTAAAGCCTCTTCTATGGAGTCTCCTGTGTCCTATTGTTATTTACCATGCTCCTCTAGGCTCTACTGGCCTAATTAAATCTCCTCTGAGAACAGTCTATCACTGACCTGACACTTGTGAAGTTCAGCAAATTCATCTTCATTGATTGTCCTTCTGAGCTCACCACTTACCCACTCTCAAACTATCCAGAAAGGATACTCAATTTCTGAACACTTAACAGTGAAATCATGCAAACATTAACAAATTATACATTGTCTATGCATGACGATATTATCATTTAATATTCAATACTTTTTAATCATTACTATTAGATAAGCTTTTTGGCATACCACGAAATTGCTTCCTTTTTTGATCAAAGCAATGATATATCACAGCTATGTCAATGAATACAATAAGGCAGTTAAGTTTTCTAAGAAGTCAAATCAACAAAATCCTACAAATGATGAGGTGCTTTTAACTTCCCTGAATTTAGTGAGCTACAGAATCTAAACTTGAGGAGAAAAAGACCACAGCAGCAGCTCCAGCCCTGTGTACTTCTATGTTCTGGTGGTGTTTAATTCAGAAAAGTGAGTGGAAATATAACATGGCTATTATCAGTGTTTCCACCATTATTATTATTATTATTATTATTATTATTATTATTATTATTATCATCATCATCATCATCATCATCATCATAACTGGTAATAACTACTGTTTCTGCAGTATAACCATGTTCCATTCTGTGACTGACATGCCTACCTCAGAAATAATTATGACTACTTCAAATTATAGATTGATTTTAACAAACACCCTGGAAGTCAACTCCCTTTATAAATTGACTCTATTTTAAACCACATTATAAAATAAAAATACTAGACATAAGCTGTGGATGAATCTTTTAAATTAAATTTATTTTTCCAGTTTTAACATTCCAAAATGCAACCTAAATGAAAGTTTTAAAATTAAAATTTGGTAATAATTTAGAAGCAGTCTAGTCTTTTGGGGAAATGCATCTTATTAAGAAAGGATCTGTCAGAATAAAAAAAAAAGACGATTCAAATGGATATCAAACCAAATATCTACATCGCACATGCCATCACCACAACAAAAATTTATAGTCTAACCATAGTATATTTTCCCATGCAGAGAATTTATAGTACTAATTTAGACAATACTGACAAACAAATTCCACAAAGGAAGATAATGACCTTTCCCTTCTTCCTGTTTCTGAAAATGTGTGTGAACTGGCTTCTCTGACCACACAGAGCCCCTTCCTTCACCCACATCTTCCTGAAGTGGAGAAGCAAAGGGCACAGGCGGTGGAGAGGGGAGGGAGAGGAATGTGTTCCCTTACATAACCACATACACGAGGGCAGGAAGTAGTGTACTCAATGACAGAAACGTTTTCTTCTTAGATAAATGACTTTCTTCTTCTCTCACCCTAAAAAGAAATATGAGTTCCCCAGTGGGTTCACCACATTTTCCTGTGTTTTTTCATCCTCTTATGCCATCATAAATTTCAGCTGGTACTTCTTTACACTCCTATTTGGGGCACTTAATGGGAATATTTTTCACCTTATGAAGGGATCAAGTATTGACTGTTTAGGAACAATTGATTTAGAGAAACTAGTGGACCATTTAGTTATTCTAAGCAAAACCTAGCAAACTTTTGTGGTTTGTAGCCCAGTGTCATTACAAATGGCTTTTTGGTAAGCAATTACCTATATGTTTTAAATGGTTCTTTGCATATGTTTAGCAAAAAGCATTTCTTCGCTGTTGTATGAACTTTTCAGTGTGTGTGCTTACTCTGTGTTGACTTTCCAAAAGCATCACCACGGGTATTAGCTTTATATGATGAATTCTTAAACACATTAATTTTTACATTGTAGCAACATATCTGACATAAATACATTACTTTCTTGAAACATAATCTATCAGTTTTAAAGTTTAAAATATCTTCACTAATATAACTCATTCCACAAACATTAGACTACCTATCACTTATAAAAGGATAACTGTTATTCAATTCCATTTAATTCAATACAGTATTTTATATCCTTTTCAGATCTATATAATAGCAGTTATGGTGGGTATTTGATGTTTTTATTATGTAGGAACAGTGTGAATGAAAGTAACTAAAAATATATTATGCAAGGACTATATCAGAAAATTTCTTAAATGAAACCAATTATGAAAATACTATGTATTTGCTAGGAAATGCTATGTCACTGATGTGTCACAGCACATACTGGTTTAACCAAGAGCTATTAAATGGGTCAATTTGTATTTTGATTTCATTAATGAGAACTTTAAAATGGGTGAATCTCTGTTAATAAAATAAGGCTCTTCTATTGAAGAACTCATTATTAGTTTGGGTTACAATGGAATAATGACTATCATGGCCAAATCACTTTTTGAAGAAAGAATTTAAAAATGAAATGTAGTATAGGTTTTTAAAGCACTAAGCATAGGCAGTATTTTTTTGGGTTTAGTTTGAAGAGTTTTGAGAAATTTTCTTAAAAACTAAAGCCAGATATTTCATAACAACTATACATTGAAAGTTCAAAATGTAGCCAGGGACTGGTGGTGAATGCCTTTAATCCTGGCACATAGGAGGCAGAGGCAGGCAGAGCTTGAGTTCTTGGCCAGCCTGGTATATGGAGTGAGTTGCAGGACAGCTAGGGATACACAGAGAAACACTGTCTTGAAAAACAGGGAGAAAAATTAAATAATTTTTAAGCATATTTAGAAACCTAGAAAGAAAATTTAACCGCATTTTGTGTTTTATTTAATGCCATAAAGCTAAATCATCATACAAATTAGTAAGCTAATATTACCTAGAAATCAAATTTAGAAACAAGCTTAGAAATCCATCACCTTAACAACTAGAAATCAAATAGATCCTGTAAACTTAATTACAGCAATTCTCAGCATGGACCCAAGAGTGCAATAATGGTTATGAGGGTAGCCAACCACATTCTGATTGCATTTAAAGCCCACTATAGGAGGACAGGATTGTCTAGTACTGTAGATCTGTCCAGCAACCCATGGTTGTGGAGTTTCTCAAGCCTCATGGATGAACTTACTATTAGGATGCAAAATGGACACAATTTTAAACTACTATCTAAATGCATTTCTCCAACTCATAGATTACTGCAGCCATCAGACATTATCAGAGAAGTTTCTTTGTGTAGTGGCTGGTGATTAATGTAGAAGCTCACAACTTGTCCAATTGTAGAAAATACATGTTCGTGGACTGCTCAGCTGTAAATGGGACATATATGACAACCCCTTTCACCAAGGCTCAAGAATCATTGCAAAAGAGAGGGGAGTAGAATGTTTATAAGAGGCAGAAGTTGGGGAAGATTGGAACAACACACTGTCACCTGGGCATGACAGACCACTATACTCATGAGCTCATGGCAGCTATGATTCCTAGCACAAGACCTTCATGAGATCAAGGGAGTCAAGATTCTAGCATGGGGGAAGCGTGGATTCAGAAGCTTATTCATGTAACTGAAGAGTTATTGATAGTTGACTTCTGAAGGAAGTCTTTAAGAGTGTAGACCTGGTAGGTCAACTATGCTCCACTGGGTGGCCTCACACTGAACTGGGCATAAAGTGTTGAAAGAAAAGGGACACAAAGTTGGCAGGACCGGGATGAGGTAATGAATTAAATGCACTGTATGAATATATGAAATCTCAAAGAATTAATAAGGATATTGTAATTTTAAATGTTTTCACATTTTTTGTTTCTTTTTGGAGTGGGTTGCTTTGCTTTTTTTTTTTTTTTTTTTTTTTTTTTGTTTTTCTAGACAGGGTTTCTTGTGTAGCCCTGGCTGCCCTAGAACTCACTCTAATGATCAGGATGGCATTGAACTCACAGAGACATTCTTGCCTCTGCCTCTTGAGTGCTGGGATTAAAGGTGTGCACCACCACCACCTAGCACAGAAGGTAGTTTTGCTTTTGTTGTTGCTTTTTAATGGTTTCCCATTTTTTAACCCTGGAGTTTGAGATATAACTCATTGGTAGAGTATGTATCTGATATGTGAAATTTCCAATAATGCAATAAAGAAACTTGTCTCTGAAATGTAGACAGGAATGTTTTATAAATTTGACAGGAAATATTGACATAAATTGTTAACAATAGGAATTATTGCATTATTACATAATTTTTCAATCAAGATGAAGTTTTTGAGGATATAGAAAATCCAAAGTAAAGAAATTAATGTAGGATTAGTATGTAATTGTATATTGACTCACAACTTTTTGTTTTAGCTTTTTTCTACCTACCAGTTTCTTAGTAGGTGGTATGTTTTATTTTTCAGTCTATGCAATACAGATACTGTATGAAACCAACAAAGACCTACGATATTTTTAGCTCATGTGGGTGGTGATAAGGCTGATATTCTTATTTGTATATTATATTCTTTTTCTTTTATTTTGCAGTTTTGCTGAAGGGAGGAAAAAGGGAAGAAGAGAAACCATTTCGTGACTGTGCAGATGTATATCAAGCTGGTTTTAATAAGAGTGGAATCTACACTATTTATTTCAATAATATGCCAGAACCCAAAAAGGTAAAAATCAGAAGTGCTTGTTTATTCGATATAAAGTTGAATTGCTGTACAATCAAATGAATTTGTGAGGATGTTAAACACAGTATATGTTGGTGTACACTTATACACATATGAATGTATATGCACCCACACCCCTCAGCTGCAATTCTCTGTTCTCAGAGTCTGGGTTTCTCTGGTCCAGAGAGGATAAAAACCCTATTTTAGAGACATCCTCTAACTTCTAATCTGTTAATCATTTAAATTTTAGTTTCTTCCATTTCTTGGATATCATAGTGCTCAAAAATGTTTGCTCACACAAATTACATGCTTTTAGTGCATGGGGAAACATTAGAAATCATCTTCGAAAGTCCCAAGATGTCAGAGAGCATAGACCTTCCAGCATAAAAACAGTCCATATCCAGCTACTTACAGAATTATTGATCCTGTCGAAGAGTGAGAAATGTGCCCTATATTAACACACAACTGTGAAAGGATACTTGCTTGAGTGCAAGTTGGAAGAACAGACTCATCTTTATGTCGCTCAGTGCCCAATGTAAACGTGGATGCAATTAAGCAGTATCTTGCTATTCTTTCTTTGTCCTTTAAATTATCCTTTTGTGCCTGCACTTGGAACAGTTAAAGAAATGACATTCATTTGCCAGTCACTGTTTAAACACAAATATAAGACAGTTCTGATTGTAATAGAGATGGCAGGCATTTACCAAAATACAGAGTTACCTAGGACTATAGAAAAGTAGCGCTGGAGATGTCTCTTTTAAGGAGGTGATGTAGGGTTTCTTTAGGTGAAGCAGCCAAAGATAGTGTGATCAGAGGCAATAGACCTACTTGCTCTTTAACTCAAGATGGGTTTTTCTGGGTTTACAAGCCTGTTCTTCTGTGATAAAACACTTTTCTTGGCCCTATGCCACACCTGTGCACACATCTTCCTTGTCTTAAATCCTGTGAAAATGCTCTTGGGAGGCCTTCCTGGATTTGTTTTTCTAACCTTCTACAAGGTACAACTGTGGCTTTTTGTTTCTGAGTTCCAAGAGCCAAGCATGTCTTCTGCACCTAGTAGGTCCTTAATACAGAAGCAGCAGAATGAACAAAAGGAGAAAAGGATACAAGTCTACCTGGCATCCACAAAGCCTAACTATTTCTGATTTCCTTGTCTTCTGAAAAGCATAGGAAGTAAATCTTGGAGACCAGTATGCTAGATGGAATGCAGTTACAAAGGCTGGATGGATGTCCGGCCTAGAGTCCAGGCCTAGCCCAAGGCAGGATGTCTTTCTGCCCCCATCTCTTGATCCTGATTTGAATAACGAATACTGGATAGAGTTGTCTCACTATTTTTCTCTTTTCTTGAAAGAAAAGTTTCTTCTTAAAAGAAACCTTTGGTTTTTTTCTACACTTGGCAGTGGGAGTGTGGGACAGAAAGCTCAGGAAGGGTAAAGGTGACATCACCTGCTTTTCTGGGTGTGTGTGTTGGGGGGGGGGGAAGACCTGGGCATTAGCCTTTGGAGTAAGACCTATATGGCTTAAAATAAAATAAGGCAAAGACACATATAAAATATGAATATACAAGGATGAGATCAGACTAATGGGTGGTAAGGAGGAGCTTCTTGATATTCTAAAAACAAATCTACACACACACTATGCCAATAGCATGTAATTGTATGATCATTTGTTCTTGGGGAGGCAAGGGAGCTAAAATAATCATATTTAATTTACCTGCAGCACCGCAGGAAACCCAAACAGACTCCTAAGCATCTTGTTACATCTTATAACATAACTCTAAAGAAAATTAAAGGAGCCTCATTTGGACTCCTGGAGATCGTGATATTTACATGAATAAAAAAAATGAAAAAAAAATTTTAAAGGTTCAGACTAGAAGATGGGGGGAAAAGTCCTTTGATTTTTTTTCACTCCTTCACTCATGCCACTGTGACATCCCTGAGGAAGGACCGAAGCACAGATTCGTGTCATTCTGTGAACTTTAATTCATACAATTCATTTCAAATGGAAGCATAGTTCAGCTCCCTTTCAAACTGCTCTCTAAGCAAATGGCACCCAGGCTGTATACTAAACCACTGCTCCTGGTAAAACAGAAGGAGTTCATTTTCCTATTTCAGCAAGTGCACATTTCCCATTTACTTAAGTCTCCTCCAAATGACACTTGACATTATAGGTTTAATCATTTAGGTTTCATGTACTGAAGCCTAACTTTAAAGCTCCAATTTATACAACGCCTATTATTTGTGGATATGTATTTTTAAAACTCTTTTGAGGAGGGGCTCAATGTTAGAGTTGGCTACTTCATTAGAATAGGGTCTCCCAAACTTTTCATTGTATAAATTAAAAGTATTTATTCATAATCAGAAGTTTTAAGGAATATTTTTTTTCTTCCCTCTAACAGGATTGCCTAATAGATAGTAATAGTGTTCTTTGATTCAGACTGTCATAACTATATTTTTTATGACTGGTGACACATCTTATTTGAAATCCCCTATTATAATCACTTAGCATGGCCTTGGAAAGAGCAAATATTTATAAATTTCATCCAAGTAATTTAGAAGCTTATTAATAGAACAATACAGAATATTGATCATCAACAGTGTCCTAGACCAGGTTCTGAACACTTCTATATGACACACTCAGTTTTCCTTTCCAATAGCTCAAGGAGCTGTGTACATCTAGCATTCTCATTTCAGAAAGATAACTTGCTCAAATTGTGTATGTGATAACTATTGAACATTGGCTTTCAAACCAAACATCTGTTTCCAGATTCAGCAGAGTTATAAAAAGGTCACTATTTACATTGGTGATAATTAAAGTTTCATCAACCAATATTTTTAATATGAACTTATTGCCCCATGAAGAAGGCACATGTGTGATATGAGTGAGTAAATTATTTAAATATGCTTCACTTCCTTTATTTTAGATAACCTCACTTTCTTTCCTTTTGACCCAAACCATTGACATTCTCCTAATTATAATAAAAGGCATTGTAAAAATTTATTATTAGGCCCTTCCATTGAGACTAAGGTATTGTCAATAAAACAGTTGACACAGTGTAACACTAGCTCACTTTTTTCCTTTTTTCTTTTTTTCTTTTTGTAATGTTCTTAAAAGTTCATTGGAAGTTGAGGAAACTCAAGTCTACAAAACTAACAGTACTAAAATTGAGTTAAGAGTACATGATATGGAATATGGAGCAATCAGCATAAGTGGGATGGTTAAGGCAACAGACAAAGCAGCTGATAGCAAACACTCCTCATTTAGGAAGTATAGGAACTGCAGTATACCAGAACTATTTACTTACTTATTTTTATTTAACATACATGTGTTTCATACACTATATTTTGATCATGGTTCCTTTCCTCCACTCCTTCCAAGTCCGCCCAATCCCCACCCACACAACTCTATGCCTTCTCCCTTTCTTTCTTTAGAAAACAAATAATAATGATAAGGAAAACAACACAAGGTACACATGCAAACCTACAGGCATACATGTGCATGCACACCCACCCACTTGCACGTGCACGCACGCATGCACACACACACACACACACACACGTGTGTAAACGTAAAAACACAAAATCAGAAATCATAACACACAAGCAAAGGACCAGTAATAGAAAACTTATGCAGACTTAGTGACAGCAGACAAAACATCTACAGAGATGCCACACAAGGCCTTTTGTATTGGTGTTCTACTTTTGAGAATGGTTTTAAGAATGCCTTTAAGAATGGTTAATCTACCCAGTGAGACTGCACTGAGGAATTTTTCCTTTTCAAGTATATGTCAACTAGAGACAACATCTTTGTTAGGGATGGGAGCCTCTGTCTGCTTCCCCTCCCAGCACTGGGATTTGGACTTTTCTAGTCCTGTGCATGCTTCCATTCTATTTTGACTGATGTTGCTCTATGTCATAAAAAAGGGGGAAATGTTTGCTAAAGTTTGAAAAGTGTTGTTACTCAAATGTCATGTTGAAGACCAAAGTCTTGGCTTAGGTTAATTTAATTTTCCAAGCAGATAGAAAAATATCTTTTTTTTTCACAGTGTTCATAGTTTGTTCTCTAAAAGGAATAGTAGAGGGAAACAGAATTCTTCTTTTCATTTCACAACTGTTTAAAGCCAAATGCCCTGTAGTCAGTTTGCTTCATCCAAAACCAAACCATTAAATTAAGTCTTATTTGAAAATATTAAAAAATTTGTTCTGAACTCATAATTCCTCTAAATCTTGAAACAGTACTATAACAAATGTGTTAAGCCTTTTCCATTTAAGGTTATGGAAAAATAATTAATATCCAGAGGGTTTATCATTCCAATTTGTTTAAAGCATAGAAGCATAACAGGTATGTGAATCAAATTGCTTCTTTTCGTTTGGGTTTAAATCTCCGTATTAAGTTAAAAGGTGTTGAATGCTTGATAGCTTTGACCTTTCCGAGGGAAGAAGCCAGTTTAGTCTTTTCTTGGACTGAGCTAACTGCCAGTCATCAAATCAATAGAAGCAACAGATGAGCAAATGGAGCAGGGCCCCCTTCACGGAAAGAACATGCCAGATAACACAGACCACACAAGACCTGCAAGGGAACTCTTCTGGCCTCCCATGTTCAATTTCTTCTATACAGATCATTTATTCCATGGAAGGTCTTTAATCTTTTATGAATATGCTTTTTCTTTTCCTTCTGACTATAGATAAAAAATGAGTTTTCTTTTATTTCTTCAATATTGAATACAAGTTCTTAAATACATATAAAAAACAAATTAACACAATCAATTTCCATGGTTTCAGTATTAATAAAAAGAAGCCAGGAATCATATTCATGAGACAAACTTGTTGAACATGTACATGTTTTTGTTTTGAATATTCTATTCACAATAATTATAAATATAAATCATTTCAAGTATCACATATAATACCTCAATGCAGTCAATATTATGCTAAATACATATAATAAGCACAATATAAACCTGTTTTGTAGTATTATAAAATATATCTAAGATTTAAGAGTAATGACAGTGGTTATGCCAAACACCACTGTACTCTCTGCACACTTAATCTTCACACACACACACACACACACACATACACACAAAGAAAGAAAAATATTGAGAGAAAGCAGAATTGCAAATTTAATCTAGCCCTCAAGTCAGCTGAACTCTATTGTCTCCATATCCTTGCTATCATCATTACTTTTGTGTGTTCATGGGAATCAGACTCACTTTAAATCCCTTAACTTATTTCTCTGCATCTCAATCTGGTGACTTCTCCCTCTGTCTTTCTCCGGATTGTCCTCTAAAATGCATCCTCAGCACTCAATATATCAAGTTGTTGGATGCCTCCATTTAAAAGGAAAGCTGTGTTTGGGGGAAAAAAAAACTGTGAGTGATTTAAAACAAGTGCATACAATTACATTAACAAGTAATTAAAAAAAAAACTCTAGCATAGTTTCCTCTACATTTTGTAAATTCACACACGTGTTGAGTCCTTTACTGAGTATGTAGAGTGACTTCATAGTTTTGGATACTAACTTGTGTTAGTGACAAAAGTTCCATTAAGAGATGGGGGTGGAGAGCGAGATGGAGAAAGGGAACAGTGGGAGATAGATATAGATGATAGATATAGATTATATAGATAGGTGATAGAATAGGATGATAGATAGGATTCGCTTTTTGGATTAATAAGTAAATGTGGTGCAAAATTTAATTAAGAAACCAGTGATATTAGTTCCCCCTAGCACAATGTTTCCTTGATATTTTCACTTGCGTTACTTTCAAATGTAAGCTGCCTCGGGTGCTTTTTGGAATTTCCATCTATGCTCCATTTCAACTCCTCTGTTTGACTTTAGTCTCATAAAGATCCTGAAATCCCTCTGGCCAAGGTCACTAATGTCTCCACCATTTCAAGTTTCTTCATGTTTTAAAACATTCACTTAATTGACTTCTCTCAAATAGTACATTGATTTATTTCCCAACCCCACATATAGCTTATTTTCTTGGGGTTCCTTTAATCATATTTCCTTATCCTATAACTACAATAAATATTTATTTACTATCTAAAATGGGTTACACACTACTTGAGAAAGTAGATAAAACAAACAAAACCAAATATGTACCCATTTACAAGTTAATGATATATAGTATCTATATACATTGTTTACTAAGACATACTCATGGTATTCCCCCCTCTCATCTATAAATGCTTTTTATTTGTTTAAATAAGAGATTAATCTTAATGATATAAACATTTGTTTTTAGTTGCATTACTACCAATAATTTTGAGTTGGGCATACAGAGGGCTCAAAACCTAGTTATAATTAAAATTCAAACCAAATCCTAGATTCACTATCGTTGCTAAGTATAACCATTGGTAGATTACATTTCCAAAACCCCAGGGTTGTATTCTAAGCCCCAGTGTCCTATATATTAATCATACTTCCATAAGTTGTTCTAAGGTTAAGTCAGAAAGAGCTTAGTAAGTATTTTAATTACCTGAAGAGTCTTTGCTAATGACTCTTCCTCTTCCTCTTCCTTATCTTCCCATTTTCTTGTACATACACTCTTGGTCTGCCTCCAGTAGATTATCTCATCTCTAATTAACATCTGATACTCTTATTGAGTAGCCATGAGACATGCAACATGAAGTGTCCAAAATATCAGTTCTTTTTTTCTCACTTGTTAGTTCTTTGTACTAAGTCTCTATGTCGCTACTGCTGTCATTCTTGAAGTCACTAAAGTTGGAGAATTATGGACTGTACTTACTGCCTTGTTAGCCCTATGAGAGCAGTCAGTATTAAAATGTCAAGGTATTTTGAGGATATGATCCATGTTATACTTATCACAATTTCCTCTATTGTACTAGAGACTCAATGCCAAAAAACGCTTATTGAGTGAAACAAAAAGGTGAATGATTATATTACAATTAAGGGGGATGTAAATGAATATTTTATACGTAAAGGCAGATTTGTAAATTTCCACAAATGCTTATTTCAATCTTAAATTCTTTTGTGGTGGGGGAGTAGGAGGGGTTGGCCCCAAGGCCTTGCACTTGCAAGAGAAGCATGCTTCCGGCGAGCTGTATCCTAACTTCCAAAACTGCTTTTGTGGTCTGAAACGAAGGCTCTTAATATTCTGCTGGCCAATTTTCATTTTTTAGAAATAATTAAACATTTCTGATGGAACTATATCAGGTATAGCACAAATGTGAATCCTGGAGAAGTAACCAAAAATATATCAGAAATGTAGTTTCTTTCCTTTTCTAACAGGATATACTTGTCCATACTATTGTCATTTGGAAACATCAGACATACATTTCTTTAAGATGTGTGTAACTTTTCACTTTTCATTATTTTCCTCTTGTTTCTCAGGTATTTTGCAATATGGATGTGAACGGGGGAGGATGGACTGTAATACAACACCGTGAAGATGGAAGTCTGGATTTCCAAAGGGGCTGGAAAGAATATAAAATGGTAAGATGGAAAAATTTACAGTGCTTTTTGATGTATTATCATAAGGTTATCTTAGACCACAATATATGATAAACCTTGACCTTCTAGATGCCTTTGAGTTATTTAAAAATAACAGTTCTTACATTAAAGACATCATTTTCATTAGAGACAAAATGTACATAAATCATTTTCAGTAAATTACTTCCCTATGTGTAATAGAAAGAAGAATGCATTATTATAATCATTTGGTGATCTATTATGCACTGTCTGCATTTGTTCCTAGTGAGAAAAATTAGAATTCCAATCCAGGTTGAGTACATTAACAGGACAGAAAACTGTGCAATGTCACAGGCCACGGAGCAAGGGAGATACTACCTAACTGTGACCTCTCTGGCATTGCTTCATGTTTTTGTTGACCTCTGAATAAGAGTGGCTCCCTAAACCTTTGCATGTGACTACCCTGGACTTCTTTTCTTGTTGCAATGACCCAGGATTGCCAAGTTTCTTTTGCTAAAGCCAGCATTTCCTAAGAGCAGGGGTGAACATTTCGAGCCATTTAAAGAGTAGAAGTCTTCATTTATGAAGTGGTTCTCATTATTTTACATTAAAATTTCTGGATAATTATTGATTTGAATTTCTAACAATTTTTCTCTTTAAAAGTGAAAACTAGAAGGCGATCAGAATGTCTTGTTAGCCAAAGTTTTGTCTTGATATCTTAGCAAATAATGCAAAACTTGACCCATTAAGTTCATGGTTAACAACTCTAAGCAAAGTGTTTAAGGAAATAGATGGGGTCTTTTGTGCTGTCTGTCACTGTATCTATGGCATTTTGATGAGAAACTCAATGAATGTTCTGAATGCCAGCAAGTAGGGTGAAGTCACCCAAATTTGAAATCTTGATTTTAAAGATTGATGAATGTAACATAGAAAAATAGACCGAAGCCAACAAAATAGAATTCTGCAGATAGAAGTGTATTTTTTTTTTTTTACCCTGGCAAAAACCAAACAAAAAATAAGAGAGAATGGAAGGGAACGGTGGCAACTTGAATGTAGGATAGAAATGTTTCATTGTGAAATGTTTCATTGCTGTGAACAAGCAAGAATTAACACACTCAGAGCACATCGGTCATAAACCGTAAGTCCAAAACACGCATAGTTCAGCAGGGTCTACCACAGCCTTTGTTGTATCATGAGAATGTGTATACCATGCTTTGTATCCTGAAGGTTTTCAAATGACCAGACTAGCCCAGAGTTTGAAAGCAGCGTGTTAGAATTCAGTGAGAAAATGTCTAGAGCAAGTGACTGCAACTGAGAATGAAACTAGATTCAAATCATTCTGACCTACATTCTCACTTAAATTAATAACAGTTATCAGAAATGGTGAATTATTACCTTGGAATATCTGTTTCCTTAACATGCTAGGGCTATTAAGATATACTGACTTATTAGGTATGGAATTGATTAATGTCTTTTGAGTATTTATCAAATGGGTCCATTTTTATACAATTGTTTTTTTTTTCATTATTGGAACAAGATAGGAATAAATTGTTAAATATTGACATTTATTCCTACCCCCTATTTTTAAATAAGAAAAGCTATCATGTTTTATTCAAACCTGAAAAATTTATCACCTCAATGACAATTATTCATGGTCAGGGAAGTAAAATTAGTTCTGAGTTTTTTAAATATTTTGGCAAAAATGAGTATGAAGATTTTCTAAATTGAAAGAATCCATTGTATGTTAAAACTTGCTTAATATTCATCAAAGCACAGAGTCAGAAGTGTTACTGCTCTTTTAAAGCCTATCTTTCATGTAGAAACAAAGTAGCCTAATTCCACCAAGAAAGGTGTAAGGGGTCTTTATCTGTTTCCTGCGCCCTGTATGCAGGACACTATCTTCAAGCTGCCTTAGCTGAGGGAATATTCTCAGAGAAAGTTACACTTAGGGACCCACAGCTCTTTCTCTTATCTTCACTAGTCTCCACTCTTGGGACATTAAATGTAGACATGACCTTTGATCCGTCCCTTGTTGGTAGTTGTTCATCTGTCCTTTACTTCCTACCAATTGGTATCTGTGGGCTGCCTCTTTCCAATGAAGTTTTCCAAAATTTTGTATTATTGTCATGAACCCAAGAAATTAAAAAAAAATCTTTTTGATATATAAGTCCCTTCCATTAGGGAGGTTTCTCAGTACTTGAGTCCCAACATAGGCTTTAGCCCTAAGGAAGACTTTAGAGCTTTGTTGTCTCTTCACCCTTCCTCAGGAGGAAATCCAGCAAATCTGGTTTACACACTTGTAAAGACATTTACTGTTGAGAGGGAAGTCTGAGGTATTTCTTCTAATGTGGCACTTAGGGACTATGGGGACACCACACTCACCAACAATTCTTCTGCAAATAGCCAGTGAACCAGAGAATCCCAGCAACTTCTCTAAGTGGCAGCTTTATGACAGGCAGTCACTAATTCCCTGGGGACAAATGGTTTGTTTTGAAGACAATTATCCCTATAAGCAGAGCTTCCTATTGAAACAAACATTTCCTTGAGAGCACCCAGGTACTTTCTGGGAATTCCTCTTTCTTGGAAGAGTTTAAAAGCATCTTTTATCATGAATTTCTTCATGCCCATATTGAAAAAATACACAAGATACTAAAATTCTTGAAATCAAATTTTCTTCCCAACTTTCTTGGGATTGGCGTCTTAACCATAGAAGGAGATACTTCTAACATGAGCTCTAACTGGGGAGAACAAAAAGAAAAAATAAGGAAAGAAAAGAAAACCTTTGGAAAACCAGCCTTATCTGCTTTCTTTAATAATTTGTATGAAAGAAAGATGAAGCCCATAGGATACAAGGATTGTGTCTGGTTTCAATTTTGTTTCTTCTATAAAAAGTCAACACTTCCTGTGAGTATTATCAGACAAAACAAATAAAGTATCAGAGACAATTATTTTATTAACTTGGAAAAAGTACAAGCTGAAATTGAACAGTTCTTCAGGTTTTGGCAAAATTAATGAATATTGGTCCTTTCCTCTCCCTGTATTTTAAAAGTGTAATGTGACTCTTGAGGCCAATTTGAAGTCAGCATTGTTTTCATTTAAATTCCACTGTTCCCCCTTTTGTTAAACTACTGGAAGGCAAATGAAATTAACCAGTAGTTAACCTGATTCATGGCATCGAAGTTCTTTATGCAATTATGATTAACATAACTGACATAACTGAAGAATGCTCATTTGTGTATGGGATAGAATCCTTGCATTTTATTTGCAACAGAAGAATCTATTCCTTTTACTGGTATTTATTTATCTCCACCTCCTTAACATCAGAGTAGAACCCTGCATATGAATTTCATTTCTTTGTTTTTTCATGTTTTGTACTGGGTACTTAAAATGTTGACATGCGATAAGTTATTATATCCAAAATAAATAAACTGGTCTTGACCTACACACTTACTATATTTTATGCATAAATTTGATATTTTTTTTCTGTTAGTCCCACAGTCAAAAGTTGCCTTCTGGTATAGAGACCATGATACAGATGTGGCTTTATGCCTCCCTTATGTAGATATTTTTACCTGATTAATATATTGTTTCTAGCTTATACATAGTTATTTGATGTTGTATTTATATGAATTTCCACCTACACTGAGTGGAACTGTTTAACTACACTGGTCTTTTCGTCCACTTCAGACATTCTGAACTACATATGCTTGGGGAGAGTACCTTATCTGTATTGATAAGTAATACCCCCGTTTTGTCTGATATTAACTCCCAAGTACAAGAAACCATCAAAACTTTCGATTAGTTATTATTGTGTGTATATGAACTTAAAATTTCCTCTCCTAGATCCTAAAGTACATGAGCTATATGGGAAGAGGAAGATGTGGAGAAACTGGGTCAAAGGGGGAAAAAAGGAAACAGGTACTCTTCCAAAGAGACACGTCTCTTTGTTGACTTAAAAAGACAGCTCTGACCTCAGAGGGGATAAGAGATGGTTTGTTTGGCTTGGGATCCATGACTTGGGAACACAGATTTAGGTTAGTTACCCCAAATTCCATGTTCCACCATGAAAACTCATCAATCAGACACAGTATGAACACATTCATAGGAGCATCTAAGCAGAGGGTGAGTCTACTGTAGGTCTGAGATGCTGTCTTACTTAGCATTGTTAGCCCTCTGATTGGTGGAGTCTAGGGCTTTGTTAAGTTAATGCATTCTAAGATGGTTTTACCGATTAGTCACAGGGCATTAGGTGAAACAGAAATGGGCAAGGAATGGCTATTTGGAAGGCTAAAGATGGCTAAGATAAACTGTAATTAGCCTCTGGGCCTCCAACACCATAAGCTCCCCACAATCACTAATGTTGTACTCAGTAAATAAGCCTTGCAAAGGGTTCAGCCTGAAGATTTAGCTTCATTCTGGGATCTTCAATTCACAGGCAAGCAGGAGGAACGATTGAGGAGGCGGCGATCGTTTCCTTTTGTGCCCATGTGCCACAATGAAGCCCCATTTGTGCAAACAGTTGGTTTTGCGTTCTCATTTCTTAATTGAGATCTTGGGTTAAAATAACATTTCTTCCTCAAAGCAACACCCAGCTTTATGTCTCAAAGCCTGTTGACTAATATACACATTAGTTTTCAGCCAACACAAGACTCTGGGATACTTAGATTGTACAGCATAGAAGAGAACCTGTCCCCTTCAAATAGCTTGCCATCTCACAGAGGAAAGTCAGGAAGCAAAACAAGACTGTGTAATGTGACAGAACTCAGTAGGTTTTTTTCTTAAGTGCTTTTCGTGTATGAACACTCAGATGCCTTAGCTAATTTTCATTCTTATAACAACACTGTGCATGGAAATATTCATCTCTTCTGCAGATGAGATCAAGTCTTTTAAGTAAGAGAAAGTTCCACTGAAAATGTGTGGTAAAGGACGATATCAGAGATATGGGGAGAGGTTCCTTAGTCTAAGCCCAAACTTTGTTCCCCACATCAGATACATGGATTTGCCTGATAAACTACCCAATGGCTTACTAATGTGGGAACCCATTTCCATTTCCCCTTTTCGGCACATCTGTCATCTTCATGATGGTGAAACAGTTGTTTCTGCTCCACTGCACTTGGCCACTAGACAGCTTCCTCCCTCCACTATCTCTGCAACAGCCAAACAGCCATATTGCTTCACTGCAGTTAAGCATTTTGCTCATTTAGACCGGCAAATTGCAGGGGTGAAGGGGGTGAAGTGTGTGAACTTAAAATTTGTTTTCTAGTGGCAAACTGTAGTGTTTTTCCATTCAGTTAGTTGCTTCCCCCCCCAAAAGAAAAAAATAAGGCAAGCATTTAGCAAGTAACACTTTTCCTCTCTGGTGTTCCTCCAGACCTACATGCTGAGAGGGAGCATGCACAGGCTTTTGAAGGAATGGCTCTCTTGTTTGTCCATTTTTGAGGCTCACCCGGGATCAATGCTCTTTCCCCTGGGGAAGCTGGAGAGTTTTATCCACACAACACTTTGAGCAGCATGGAAATATGTGACCTAAGACTTAACACTTCATCATTCCCAGTCTCTCTGCTCACATTTAATATGATCGCTGAAGCCCTGTTTCAATGCTGCATGGCACGGGGACTTGTCAAGTGGCTAGAGGGACAGCTCTGGCTGGTCTGAGCTGAAAATTGCAAAGGAAATTCCCAGTGCTCCTTCTTGTCTTTCAAGCAATTGCTGCAGTTGAAGAATGCTAACTCAGAGTTTCAGGCCCCTGTAGCTTTCCATTCTGTGCATGCAGGAAAACTTTGGACTTCTTAGCATGTGGGACTGGCTCCTGTGATATGCTGTAAAATCTTTAGCACATCCGAAAAATTGCGGATATTTTCTGCTACTGTGGTGCTTTCACTAACTGTGGCCTGAGGATCTTATGAGTAGTGAAGTAAAATATGAGGGCTGGGATTAAAATCCCTGAACCTGAATGTGAATCTGTATGTTGTGGCAAACCCTGGTAGTCCCAGCAGTGGGAGACCGAGACAGGAGGATCCTGGGGACTTACAGTCCAGCTGTTCTACCCAATGATGTAAGATCTGATTCAGCAAGAGACTCTGTTTCAATAAGTAAGGTGGAAAGTAGTAAGGCAGACACAATAAAAGAAGATATCAAATGTTAAACTCTGTCTTCCACATGAACTTGTGTGAAGGCTTTCACACACACACACACACACACACACACACACAGAGAGAGAGAGAGAGAGAGAGAGAGAGAGAGAGAGAGAGAGAGAGAGAGAGAGAGAGTGAGTCACTGGAGTACTAACTTTTAACAAACTGTGTATTTTCCTCTGAGTTATACAAGTAGTCATTAGGGAACTACATATACAATGTCATCCAGACGAATACTGAGCAGCTAGTCAAAAAATTAGTTAAGTCAGAGAATAACTTTGAAAATGTGAACACACATATTAACTTTAAATATAAAGCTGTGTGTGTGTGTGTGTGTGTGTGTGTGTGTAGCAAACTCTGGGTATTCTAGCATTTGTTCTAACCACTGAGTTGAAGCTCAGTGCACTATGATCTGCTGGTTTTGCAAAAGCAGACTCGACAGAAAGAGATTTGATAGCAAATACTGCTGGTTGTTTGGAAGTACCTCCATTGGCAGAGGCAATGGAATGAATTTAGATAATTATTGGTCATACTGAGCACCAGTATATTCTAAAAGGGAAATAGGGAACATTGATTCATTTCTTAGGTTTATTAATGGAGAAAGGTTAAGGAAACGTCTACTACACTTTAAATTTATATTTTATCATCTGTGTTGAGACAATTAGTGCTGCTGTAATTGTAATACTTGTTCACACTGCTAAGTAAAGATTAACCATCCATTAATACATGCCTTAATTAACCATGGTCAATTTCTTCATAAAACAACCATGTATACATCCTGTGATTACGGGACCTTGACCTTTTTATTTTTAATTTAAATTTGAAACAAGCTTGTTTTACATGTCAATCCCAGTTCCCTCTCCCTCCTCTCCTCTTTTGCACCACCCAACCCCCATCCCATCCCCTCTCTGCTCCCCAGGGAAGATGAGGCTTTCCATGGGGGGATATTCAAAGTCTGTCATATTTGGAGCAGGGCCTAAGGATCTGACCTTTTTAATGTTGGCATATGTAAGCACAGTTAGGGGATCTGTCCAGATGCAGAATTGCATAGAATGTTCTTACCAGACGTAGTCTGGAAGCTGACACTTTTATTTTTACCAGCTCTTGGTTGTATGGCTGAGATGCAGAATGTCAGTGCAACGTGCTCTAACGTTCTGCCACTCTGCATCCCTCCTTCCTTTCCTTCTCTCCTTTCAACAACTATAAACTTTAGTATTTGATGCTCTCTATGAGCCACTTCCTCATTAGTGTTTGTGAGTTCACAGATGCAGCATGATTTTTCTATTGCTAGGGGCTCAAAACAGCTTCAGTAGACTACTGTGTACATAAGACATTACACTGATCATCAGGTGTTACCAAGGAAGTACTTTCTCAACAACTGTGAAATGCCCCAAATATCTCTATCAGCAATTTCAGGCTCCTCCTTTGTCAATATCAATATCTTCAATATTAGGAATCAGCCTTGTGGGATCATCTCTCTCCCTCTCCCTCTCTCTCTCCCTCCCTCTCTCTCTCTCTCTCTCTCTCTCTCTCTCTCTCTCTCTCTCTCTCTCTCTCTCTCACACACACACACACACACACACACAAGAAAAAAAAACAACTATTTGAAATTTTGACAGAGCAGACTTAGCTGATGCCAAAGAAAACCATAAAGTCCCAGAGAGGTTCAGGTATGAAGTCAGCTCAGTTACTCACTAGCCCTTATTAGTTGTCCTTCTGCCTCCAAACTCAAATGTTTGCCAGTGAAGAACCTAAGTGATAACACCATTGCTTTCTAGACTTGACTATTAAAATTAGCCACGAGGCCACTAGAAGAACTGAATCATCTGTAAAATTATAGAGTAAGTAGGCTCCAATTAAAAACTATTAAATAGAAGGATACTGGTAACTTTCATTAGAACATATTCAAATTAAGTTTAAAATGTCAACTCAGTTTTAACATAAATGTCTAAAAGAAGTTTGAATTGAGAGTTATTTTTTGGTTAAACCTACTAACAAGATTAATTTAACCCAAGAATGTCAAACTAAAGAGGCTTTTTTTTTTGTGATAAGAACTAGACATCAACTTCATTGGAGAGAAAGTACACAGTAGAAGAGTACTGGAATAATTTAGGAATTGAAATGAAGTGTAAAAAGACAAACAAAGCTATCTTTAAATAATTTGTCCTTGTTTCTTAGAAAATAAATTTGATCGTGACCAAGTTCCCTCTGGAGTAACAAGTGCATGTGTCTCTTCTTTCCCAGGGTTTTGGGAATCCCTCTGGTGAATATTGGCTGGGGAATGAGTTTATTTTTGCCATCACCAGTCAGAGGCAGTACACGCTGAGGATTGAACTGATGGACTGGGAAGGGAACCGAGCCTACTCACAGTACGACAGATTCCACATAGGAAACGAGAAACAGAACTATAGGTAAGCTGCATTCAGAACTGCAACCAGCAGTCTTTGACCTTCCCAATGAGAAGCTTTAATTAAAAAGAAGAAGTAAGGTAGATACTGCCTGACGATGAAAATTCAGCTTGTTTGTATAAGCCTATGATGATGACCTAGAGAAAACCCTGAAAGGTATTCTCACAGGCTGCACTATTAGTCCTTTGTTATTAATTTATTTTATATTCTGACCGAAATTTCCCCTCCCCACCATCCCTATGCCACACCCCATCTGTCTGCCAATCCACCCCTCCATTCAGAAAAAAAGGAGACTTTGAGTGGATATCATCAAATCATGGCATATTGAGTTGCAGTAAGACTAAGAACCTTGCCTTGTATTATTAAGGCTGGGCAAGAGGATCCATTATGAGGAGTAGTAGGGTCCCAGAAGCCATTAAAAGAGTCAGAGACAGCTCCTGCTCCTACTGTTAGGAGTCCCACAAAAAGACCAAGCTATACAGCTGTTAGTACCTAGGTCAGTTCCATGAAGGCTCCCAGATTGTCAGTTCAGTTGATTCTGTGGTTTTTTTTTTTTTTTTTTTGTGATATCCTAGACCCTCTGGCTCCCTCCTCCCTTGGAGCCAGGCCTAATGTTTGGCTGTGTTTCCATCAGTGTCTGGATGAAGCCTCCCTGATGACCAATGGGAAAGGCACCAATTTATGAGAATGGTAGAATATTGTTAGGCATCATTACATTGAAATTTTTTCCTCTGCTCATGTTTGCTTCTATGCATGGTCTCTGCATAATCCAGCCTCTGGGTCCTGGCACTCCAGGCAGTGTGTGTGTGTATGTGTACGCAAGTGTGTGGGGGGTGACCCTCTCCTGTCATGGGTCTCAGAGATTGACACTTTGACATTGGTTCAGTCCAAGAGGAGAGTACATGTGACTCTGCTATAATTGCTATGATGCTGTGGTGGCTTCATATATCTAAGAATGTTACCATGATACCAGAAACTATGTGATTCAATGCCTTCTAATAGTCTACTCTTTCTAACAAAAGATCTGAAGGTTTTATTTCCTTTACTTTTATTAAATTTTAATTTTTTAAATTACCTCCAGTGTAACTAGAGGAAACCTTTATATTTCTAGTGATTCACATCAGAGGAGACTGCATTGTCAGGAGACTTTTTAAAATAACATAAAATGCAAAAATAAATCTAAATGATGAAGGCCATCCATAAATTAGCATGTGAAAATAGGCAAACTAAACTACTAATTTCAAATAGTTCTGATCCTCAATGAGCATTTCATAGCTTAGGAAAAATGAAAATTACTAAGCTATAGTAAATTTCTTCCACAAACATTTATTGTGTTATTATCACATTCTAAGATCAGGATTAGGCACTGGACATGCTCAGACCTTGTAGTCAGGCTCTGTGATGAGCAGCTTGTAAAAACCTAGTTAATGTTCCTTGAGACCAGCCTATTGTAGTTGGTGTCATTTCATCACACAGCATTATGGAACTCATCACACAACAGATCCTTAGTTGCAAAAATCATAACAGGTAAAGAGGAATAGCAATGACTTTTGAGTCTCAATATTCCCCATCTGTCATAACAGTAAACAGCAAACGGTGACACATGGCTGCATATAACTTGCAATGCTACCAAACAAAGCCTTGTAGTTTTTCCATCCAGTGAGCTGGCTGTGTCTAGGGAGATCAAGTATTTCTGATTAATGTTTGTCTTTTTGAGTTATAACAATCTTTGGGAACTAAATCTGAATCTTTTTTTTTAATGGCACAAATCATGTTTAGTATATTACATGTATTACATGATTAGAGTCTTGGAGATACAATAATCATTTTCTTAATAAATACTGATGTCACATAAGGGAGGTGAGGGATAGACCTAAGGTGGAGAAATTTTAGGGTGAGAACAAGGGGATGCTTTATGGCAGCTCCAGAAATGAAAGAGGAGACATTTATAAAATCAAAGGAATGTAAGAAGAAATGTTTCTAAAGAGGCCAGTATCTTGAGACTTTGTAACAAGAAAAACCACTGTAAAACACTGGGGGTACTCTTATGTAAACGTTTTGACCTGAAATTTGAAACTATATGAAACTTGGCTAATGTCAGACAGCTTGACAATAGAACTAGCAAGTAATTAGTCTAATCTTTTTCTAGGCTTCTGAAGAATTTGCCCTGGTTCCTTTCCAAAATGCTGCTCGGTTTGCTGTGGGCCATTGTGGTAGAGGGACTCGTGCATGTGTATGTGTGTGTGTGTGCATGCATGTGCAGTTGGGTGGTCTTTGGTGGATACAGTGAGGGCAATCTTGAGACAGCTGGCATCTGCAAAGCTTCTGGTGTCAAGCATTCATTACTCCTGTGTACTCTTACTCTGGTAGAGCTCACCACACTACCTTTATTAACTGCTCCTCTTTTGGGATCTATGGTTCTTTTACCCATATGTCTTTCACACATGTGATACAGAGCTATAGTAAAATATTGGGACTTCCTCGCTTTCGAACGGTCTTCAGTATAGGATTTCTTTCAAGTTCAAAACTTGAGAATCAGAATACCAAACTTGGACTGTGATTGAATTTAATACTTCTGGTTTTAAAGGGGAAAGAAGTGGAGGCTAGGAAGTACACTATTTTCTCAGAGATAGAGTGGCATTTTTTTTACCTTATCTTTCTCATGGTGGTTTCTCTGATAGTATTGCAATAACAAAGTGGGTAGTTCTGGCTTTATCTCTTACCATGACCGAACAAAAGCTAGATATGCCATAATTGCCTCTCAAAAAATTGAGTATAGGATTCTTGTTTTCATCGAATAGGAAATTAGGAAATTATGATGCATTAAATCAAAAACCTGATTTGGTAGCCAGTTAAGTATGCCACAGAAACTATACTCATCCTACTACCCAAGGACTAACAGTTTGAATGTAAAATGTTTCCCATCGGCTCTTCTGTTAGGATACTTGGCCTCAGGATGGTTGCTCTGGGTTAGAGTGTAGTAGAGCTTTCAGGAGGCCTCACTGGATGAAGTTAGTGACTCAACAATGGTTGTTGGGCTTTTACCCTAGCTCTACTTCCCATCTGCTCTCTGCATCCTGACTGTAGATACTATGTGACCAGCTACCTCAAATGACTGTTGCCATGCCTTCTCCTTCATGATAGACTGTAACACTTCATTTTGTGTGTACAGGTGTTTTGTCTGCATGTATGTTTGTGCATTCTATGCATGGCAGGCATCCAGGGAGGACAGAAAAGAGAATCAGATCCATAGGAATTGGAGTTACAGTTGGTTCTTAGCACCATATGGTTGCTGGAATGGAACCCAGGTCCTCTGCAAGATCAGTCAGTTCTCTTCATAACCAGTGAGCTATCCCTCCAGTCCTTGTAGTACTTCTTAAATGATAGTACAAAATAAACCCTCTTTTCCCTAAGCTGCTTTTATAAGGTGCTTTATCATAACAATGAGAAAAAAAGCCTATACCTCAGAAGAAAGGCTTATATAGAAAGCCAAGGGAGGCTTCTCTCCCTATTCATGTTTTGAATTAAATCCACAGGGTTTTCTTTTATAGATGCTGTTAAGAAATAGTACTTTCAATTCTCTGTTTCCCTTTCTACCCTCTAGCCTCTCCCAGTTACTTTCATTTGAACCCTCCACTCTCAAGTGGATTACTTTCAAAACAATATACTTGCAACATACACACATGTGTAGACACACACACGCACGCGCACACACACACACATATATATGTATATATATATGAACCTGTTGCACCTGTTTTTGCTGTTTGTGTATATAAGATCCCAAATTTGACTGCACTGAATAATCAGTAAAGGGGCTCATCCTTAGAAAAAGCTAACTCTCTTCCCAACAGTGAGTAGTGGCAAGCAGTTCTTAAAAATTTCATCCTGAAAATGCTTTTAGCTATCTATAGTCACCATCATTATTTTAAAAATGAAAACAGATCCTTGTGTCCTTGACATTTACTGATTAAAAGTAAGTGTTGCAAATGGACAGATTAGCTTAGAGATGTGCATATTATACACATGTTTCCATTTTATCCTCCAAGGAAACTTCAAATGATTTTCTCAGATGAAAATAAAATCCACAGAACCCAAGAGAACACAAAACAGAAAAAAATTAATAATGTAGAAGTGTCATGATAAACATACCATGTAGAATAGCACACAATCAATGTGAAATTATTAAACACCTCCCCTGGGGTGCTAGAATTATGCATGTCCTTATCATCTAACACCCAGGCTATTGTACAGTTTCTCTGCCTCAAGCTTTACTCTCTAATATTTCTTTCCCACTACAGCTGGAATCATTTTTCAATAGATATCATGTATGGTATTTATATCCTCTTTCATAGATGTGAACAATATTTTAATATCTTCAAGTGAAGTCTACCACTAATGCTTCCATGCATTTTGTCACTACTAACAAAACACTAGCTGATGCCACCAGCCTTCTATAATTCAATGCATTCCTCATTGTGACGATGTTTCAGTAACAGTTGTAAATTTTCTAAAACCTACATGCCTTGTTGGTACTATATCCATATCATGCATACACAAACCATTTTTATTATATGGATATGACTTCTAAAATTAAGATCTGTCCTAAGGGAGGATATTGTCCCCTAACCCTTCCCTAGCAAATGCTACAGTGTGCCAGTCCATTATTCCCTTGAGATCTGGGTCGTGCTTCCTAGCTGCTGGCATGTTAGAGAAGTAGCATCAGCTTCAAGCAGTCTGACACCAAATATTGCTGTGGCCAAGAGAAATCATATTACCCAAGGTCAATCCTCCTTTCGGTAGAAAATTATGATCAATGGCTACCCAACACAGGAGTGTGAAAACCCTCCTGTCCTCATTCAAGAACAAGAAATACAATGTCTTCTTTGTGCTTTGGTTGTAGGACTACCTCTCCAGCCACAGTGTCCTGATCCCTTTACTATGCCATAAAAACTAGGAAATACCTAGAAGCAGTCCCCCCATGGCACCCATACTGGTTTTCC